CCGTTGTTCACCTCAACTGAAATGTTCTGGACCATGATAACGCCAAAGCCTGTTGGCATACATCATCTTTGGATTACCTTGCCAACCACATTTTATCTGGAAAGTCACGTCTGAGAGACGATCCACTATGTTATATGGGCCTTCCCATGAAGAAGACAACTTAGGAGATTTCCCTTTGGTCTTACTATATATACTATATAACCACACCTTGTCTCCTGGTACAAAGCTGACTTCAGTAGATCTCTTATCATAAGATAACTTCATCGAATCAGCAGACGTTTTCAAGTTTGAACGCACTTGATGGTGAATACCATCCATCCTTTCCAATAACACTTTCACAAACTCTGACACATTTTCAGGCAACTCTTCATAAGGTGGGTGTCCTGTTAACAGATCCACTGGCAACCGAAGTTACTGACCAAACATTAACTTTGCTGGAGTGTATCCAGTGGCTTCATGCTCTGCTGTCCTATAGGCCATCAAAAGTGGAGGGAGTACGACATCCCAGTCATCTTGGCGACTATTACAAAACTTTGCCAATTCCTGTCCCAGTGTCCAGTTAAACTGTGGGTGAAGTGGCATTTTCCTGGTCTTTCAGATGCCAAACAACTTGCAGCATTCTTGGAACACACCTGTTTCGAAGTTACGGCCTTGATCTGAATGCAGTTCATATGGCATACCAAATCTGAAGAAGAAATCATTAATAGCCGAAGCTACAGTTGTAGCTTCCTGATTTGATATTGCATATGCCTCAGGCCACTTGGTGAAATAATCCATTACCACACAAATGCAGTTGTTTCCAGCACGAGTTTGGGGTAGAGGGCCAGCAATGTCGACGGTTACTCTTTCCATTGGTGCGCCAACTTGATATAACTTCATTGGAGCACGTCCCTTATGCTTGGGTCCCCTTTTAACACAACATGCACTGCATGTTCTGCACCATAGTTCCACATCTTGCCTCATACCTATCCAGTAAAACCTCTGTCGTAGGTGACAGAGGTTTTTCGTAACCACGAGATGTCCTCCTGTTAAACTATCGTGGGATTGACGCAGCACAACTTCCCGTAACTTTCTCGGTATAACTGCTTGCCAGGTCGTCACTTTCCCATCTCCGGACAAGAATGCCATCTTCAAGCTTCAACTAGTCCCATTGTGCCCAATAGTTCTTTGTCACAGGGGTTAGACGAGACACCTTCTCACAAGCAGGGCGCAAAACACTTGCTTTTAGAAAATCAATTACTGGCTTCAAATCTTGGTCTTTCTCCTGCGCTGATTTAATATCTATACCTGGTTCCACTTAACCATCATCAACTCTTTTAGTCACCTTGACTTCAGCTTGATGACACCTGGTTAGTTCAACCTCTCTTTTGCAGCAATGTCTGCAGTCATTTTTGCAGGGTCTACGGCTCAGTCCATCAGCATTACCAAGAGATTTTCCTTCTCTATATTCAATATTACAATTATACTGGTCTATTTTTCCGATCCATCGTGCTAGTTGTCCTTCTGGGTTCTTCAATGATCTTAACCAGTGTAACGCAGCATGGTCTG